TTGAAAAATCGACTCTTGTGTTTTAGGTCTTGAAATTTTGGGAAATGAATGAAAATTCCCGTCCAAAAGTCATTTTGTTCAGCTGCAGACGTCGCATTTGTGACTTGAGCTTCGCAATTGCGAAGAGGCTATCGCAATTGCGAAGCCTTCACAATCCTGCTGCCCTTTGCAAATACGAGGAAAGTGTCGCAATTGCGATCACTGACCTCGCAAATGCGGACAAAAGATCGTATTTGCGATCCATGCCCCTCTCAGACTCCATTCACAAATGCGAAGAAAAGTTCTCAATTACGAACACAGGCTGGCCCAGCATCTCTTCGCATTTGCGATGAGAAGTTTGCAAATGCGACCTCAATAGTGATCGCAAATTCTAACTCTGACCTCGCATTTGCGAGATCTGAGGCCTGCAACACAGCTGAAGCACACTAGCTATTTTTCTAAGTCCAAATCATTTTGTAGCCTATCCAAAACTCGTGAAAGAACCAAACCAAACATGCACGCAAGTCTAAAAATATCATACGAACTTGCTTGCGTGATCAAATCGCCAAAATAACACCTAGAACTATGAATTTAGTACCAAATCAAATAAAATTCTCAAGAACACTTTAAAATTTCTATTTTCTCAACTAGACGTCCGAATCACGTCAAATCAACTCCGTTCCTCCCCAAATTTTTCAGTCAGGTCTTAAATATTATAATGAACCTGTACCGGGCTCCAGAACCAAAATACGGACTCGGTACTAACAATGCCAAACATCAATCAATTCTTAAAAATAATTATTTTTTATCAAAAATTCATAACTCAAGCTAGGGACCTCCGAATTCAATTCCGGACATACGCCTAGGTCTCATAATTCGATACGGACCTACCTGGACTGTGCACGTAAATTGAGGAGGGTAAAAATGAGATTTTTACGGCTTAAGAGCGCAAATTCGAGTTCTAAAACATAAGATGACCCTTTTGGGTCATCACATTATCTATAACCAAAATTAGATTTTCCGAAACCATCCCAATCATGTTGGTTTCTCTTCGGTATCAGTACCGTTCAGTTAAATTTTTTAGTCACTAGTAGAAGTAGAATGCAATAACATACATAATTTTATAGGACTTCACAAAACTCTCTAAATATTTTTACTGTTTAAAGGATAATGATTAAAGATGGCCAGAGAACAGATCTATCAACTATTCTACAGCAGCGTAAAAAAAATTAAGCAAAGACAAAAAAAATATAAATTACACGAATGAAAAAATATTAACCAAGTTGGGGCTAAAGAATAAAGTCTATGGAAGATTAAATATCCAAAAAGATATATTTAAATCATATATGAAAAGAAACATATTCAATACATTGCAGTTTGCTACTCATAATCGCTAAAATACCTTGTGTCTTGCTAGTGAATATGCTGAAAATAATTTAGTTTCAATTGGAGTAACATAATATGTTTGGAAATTAGGATTTTGAGTTTAATTACTTGTTGGCTTGTAACCATTTTTATAATTCCAAGGCCAAAAAAAATTAATGTGTTTATTTGTTTATTTTTAAAAAACTTAATATATAAATATATTTTTTACATTAAATTTATTCGGTACAGTTCGGTATTTTTTCGGTTTATTTTCACAAAATAAAAAATTTACCCTAATTCTCGGTACGGTTATAGATTTATGTAAAAACCTACGATCTTAAAAGAGACTTGAAAATCGGTTCAACAGTACAGTTCAGTCGGTTTAGTTGATTTTTAGATATCCATTGACACCCCTAATTTAAACTAAACTCCTAATTTCAGATCCAAATGCATAGCTATTGAAATTTGGCATTATTACACAAACATACTCAACAATTCCAAAGAAGACATTCCCACCATGCTTAGAAGTGTTTTACGATATCTTTTTTATAGTTACCACGGCAGAAATCTGTTAAACTTTTCAAAGTGAATCTCTGAAAAGCTCTTTGTGAGAACACTAGGGAATAATTAACTTTCACTCAAGATAGATTCTTTTACATTCTTTGTATTTCTAAATCAAACAAATATTATACTAAGTAAAATAATAAACATAAAATGTAGTGGTATGTTTTTAACAAATTCAATAATTCATAACATGATTATTCTATTTATAATGTTAATGAACTTAAATTATATTCTGTAGTAAGATATAACTTTATTCAAACTATAGGTAATACAACTAGATTAATTTTTTTTTTTACATAATATAAAAAGGTATTACATAGAAGAGGAATTCAAAATATCAGTGGCGATATAGGTATAGTGTAAGATATTGAGGGGGTGAATGACTATTTGTTAAACGTTGGAGATGGATTTTGATTTTTAAAGAAAACTTGAGGCGTCTAAATAATCTTTTTCGATTTGCTAAAAAGGACTTATAGTTAGAAATAAAGTCCTAATTCTCCGATTCTTCATTTCCCCCTTTGGTCCACTTCACGGTCTCTGACGTCTTCTTCTTCTTCTTCTTCTTCTTCTTCTTCTTCTTCTTCTTCTTCTTTCTTCTTCTTCTTCTTCTTCTTCTTCTTCTTCTTCTTCTTCTTCTTCTTCTTCTTCTTCTTCTTCTTCTTCTTCTTCTTCTGCAAAGGTACCTACCAGTAGTCTTTAACTAATCTATTGATATTATTTATTATTTTGAGTTATGAGAACAAATATATATTAGAGGCATTGAATTTCTTGGACTCCAGCTGATTTCTACCATTTTTATTTTTTGAGGAATATGTCTTAATTTTGAATTTTTCGGATTCTGTTCATCTGAAAGTTTCCCCCTTTTGTTCCTCTCAAAATCTGAATTGCATGCTGTTGCTTTTTGTGTAATATTTACTGTTTTTTTTGTGTGTAAATTAGTGTTGTCGAGTTTGCGTTGTGGTTCAGATTTTATGGTTTTGAGTTTGTACTTAGAAAATGGAAATACAAAGGAATGAGGATTACTTTAGTAGCATATTGTTGTTGAAAAAAGCCTTGAATCTTCTGAAACCTAAGTATATCTGTCAATAATGAGATTTTTGTGCTTATCTCGGACTAATGACTTTTCCAGATAAAATGCATATTTAGGTGTATTGAGAGAATAAAGTGTTTCACAAAACTGAATAGTATAACTCTCTGAAAAAACCAAATCTACTGAAGACATTTTGTTAATGTTTAACTTATCAAAAACCTATAGAGATAAATGGATTCAATAGTAGTTGATTTTAGGAGAATTGGTAGCTGTTTTGGTTTACTGAATTCGTTCTTTGAGTTTAGAATGGTAATATGCAAAGGCTACAAATTTTATCCATAACAAGTACAAAAATTTAAAGAAACAACATAATAGCTCTAAAGCACCACATCATAATTCTAGTATAATATGCTAATCATCCTCTTCGCTACCATGCACTACTTTCAAGAACAAGAACTTTTTTCTTTATTATTTGGGTTTTCTATATTTTGATAAGTGTTTGGGGTGTCCTACATTCACTGGTAGAAAGAAGAATTCTTATTTCTCTTAGTTGATTAGTAAAGTGGTGGCTTAAATCAGGGACAAACAACAGAGCTGAGGCCTTTGGTTTACGTTGCAGAGGAGGGAATCCTAGTATCCTACACGTATGTTAAAAGTTGATTTATTGCAGAGGAAGGAATCCTAGAATCCTTGTATACATACCCTAAGGCTACGGCCTAAATAACGCGGCTCGGAGATGTCCGAATTCCGCAATAACAATAGGCTTTCAAATTCTTTGAAAAAAGGTTAAAAAAGGCTACCCTCTGCAAATAATCAAAAGGGAACAACCCTCGAAAAACCTTAAGAGGTATCAAATTATCTTAACACAAATGTGCTAAGGCACACAAAGCAAAAGGGTTTCAACTAACATCAGACCCTCAAAAAACCCAATGGGTAAAAAATACATGCTAAGGCATAAAGAAAGTTTTACTAAGTCTTTTAAACCGAAAGAGGGAAATAATAGCCATCTTTTAGAGGCTATATGGGCCCAACCTAAAAGAGCCTAAGGGCCAATACATTTAGAGTTCGATACCTTGTTCTCACTCAACTCAGACCTAAGGGTTCCACTATTCCGAGTTCAAATAAAGCTGATGTGAATTTAGCTCAAAGATCCACCATAAAACCTTAAGGGATATGTTACTGTAAGTTCAAAAATTACCCATTATTTGATAAAAAAACCTTAGGGTTTGTTCTATTCTAAGTTCAAAACTTACTCGAACTTAGTTATAAACTAAGTTGCTCGGACTCGGGTGCGGGTGTTCGATACGGGTACAGATCTAGAGGTAAGATCCTTCATGATCTAAATTTAAAGATTCGGGGATACTATCCAAGTACAGATACTGGTGCGGGAATTCGGCTAAAAATAATTCAATTATTTAAAAATAGAGTTATAAAAATATGTCTAAATTATTAGACATGTGAAAAACTTACAAGGTATTCCGAGAAGGAGAAAATATTTAATAAGAGTAGAAGTTTAGAAGGAGATAAAAGGAAAAGCACTTACATAGAAATTTATATATACAAGGTATTCTATTTTCTTCCATATCACCCTAGCTTTTGATTTGTTTTCAAAAATCATAGTATCTGTCCCAAATTTCTCCGTTGATTTTGGTCAAAGTACCCAAAATCGGTTGACCAGATCCGACACGGATCCCACACCCATACCCACACCCACGTCGTGTCTACACGGGTGCGGCACTGAAAGTGAAGAGTCCGAGTAACTTAGGTTATAAAAACAGTGCAGTCATGGCATCGATCAAGCCATCCGAAATCTCGAACATATTATTGAGCTCGGGGACTCGCCCTTGCGTGTCGAAAAAACCTAAGGGTTTGTTTTAAGTTCGAGCTAGTGTTCACTCGATTACAGAGGCTGCAACAACAAAATTTTCACAAGGCAAAAGCACAAAACATGTTTGAACATAAAACTAAGAAAACATTCAAAAGAAGTTTTTCTATTATATATTGAAAAAAAAGGTTATGTACAAGAGACCGATCAAGGTCTTACAAAAAGAGAAACTAAGTCCTAACTACGGTCGGTTTCGACCTTTTCTACGGGAGAAACTTCTCCTTCAGGCCCCTCATCGGATCCTCCTCGACTGCCTTCTTCATCATCGTCTTCGTCATCGAACGAGGCAAGTTGCCTGGCTTCAGCTTCAAGCACCTTGGCTCGGGCTATCTCCTCGGAGAGGTCAAAACCTCGAGCATAGATTTTCTTGAGGGTTTCCTTCCGGGATTGACACTTTGTCGAGTCAATGATCCATCGCTCTCGATCAGAAGCCTCCCTTAGCTGCATTTGAGCAGCCTCAACATCGGCCCTGTACATGGCAATGGACTTGTCCACCATGACCTTGGTCTTCTCGATCTCCGCCTTGGCCTCAACAAGCTCAGTTTCAAGCTCCTCGATCCTCTTGGCTTGGTCCGAACTTTTCTCTTTAATGCCTCAAAGTTGAACCTCGACCGATGACAGTTTGGCCAAGGTAGTTTCTTTTTTCGCAGCCAGGCGGTCCATATTCTCCTTCCACCGATCACAATCGGCCTTGACCTGATCGACTTCTCCCCGAAGCAGCTCGATCCTTTCGACCTTTTGCTGCAGCTGAGATAGTGAAGTATTAGCCTCTACAGTTGGGTCGAGTCCATACTCTATCAAAAGGATGGTTACCTACTTATCTAGCTCGGCCTCTTTCTCATGAGCCTTGGCCAAATCCGCTTGAAGGTCCTTTATAGTTTTGTCCTTTTGGCCATAAAGAAGCTTCAGAGCGTTCCTCTCCTCCGAGACCTTTTGGAGCTCGGTTTCACACTAGCTAAGGTCAGCTCGAAACTTCGCAAAGACCTGCACAAAAAAAGGAAAACACAAGTCAGATTTAGGAAAAAAAGAGTAAAGGAAAGAAGTGCAGTAACTGATTCTTACTCGAGATAAGAGACGTTGGGCCTCTTCTAAAAGAATAGAAGTGTCACTGATATCAGAGGCATCATCGACTCCAGTAAAGCAATCCCGAAAGGGATCCCCTACACTAGAGCCTCCGCCTATATCAGGGGTCTTCAACTCTCGAGCCTCCCTTAGTGCCTCCTCAGAAAAAGTCGGAAGAGAAGGCAAGTGACCTGCTGTGATCGATCTTCAGGGTCTCAGAACCGACCCCGCCCGGTGTAGTTGCAGATGGCCGAGAAACGATCTCGACCTCTGATGATTCGGGATCCTCACCCGATTTCTTTTTGGAAACCTCCTCGACACGAGGCTTGATTTTAGCAGCCGTCGTCAGCTCAGAAGGTTTGGTGACCTCGATGGCTTTCCTAGGTCGGACCGTCAGTGCCGAGGCATTTTCCTTTTCTTCCTCTTATTCATCTCTCAGTTTTTGGACCGAGTCCATCGTGAGAGCGATTACTTTCCTCCTCACCCTTCGAGGTTTGAGCTTGGGGTCTTCAGACTGCGAGGCACTCTTCCGCTTCTTGTCTTTCCCCGGCTTCGGAATCGGGAAATTGGTTTCTTCCTCGCTACTCGAGGGCCTCAAAATAGCATCCCTGGTCAGGCCTGCATGAAAGAAAATTAGTGATGAATGAAGTACAAAAAATCTTTCAGAACATGAAAAAGGAGATCCTTACCGTGGTTCTTGGCCTCCCATCTGCCCCTTGCCAAATCACGCCATGCGCGTTCGACATAAGTGGAAGTTGAGGCTAACTTCCGAACCCAATCTTCGAGGTCAGGCACCGCTTGAGACATCCAAGGAATAGCTGCATGTCGAAAGGGGATATTAGGCAAAGTCGAAGAAGGTACGAAGAACAAAGTTTAAAAGATCACTTACGATCGAAGTTCCACTCCTCAAGGAACGACATCTTCTCCTCCGGGATAATGTCGCGGGTCCTCACCCGTATAAAACAGCTCATCCAACCCCGATCCTTGTCATCATCGATACTCGAGAACAAGGCCTTCGTTGCCCGGCGTTGGAGCCTGATTAGTCCTCGATAGATTCGAGGCTGGTACAACCACATGAGGTGATTTAAAGTAAACTCAGGCCCCTCGACCTTGCTAGAAAAGAAGCGCAACATGATTACTATGCGCCATAGAGAAGGGTGGATTTGGCCGAGGGTGACCTGATATCTTTTACAGAGATCAATAATCACTGGGTCGAGGGGACCCAATGTGAAGGGGTAAGTGTAAACACTTATGAACCCCTCCACATAAGCGGTGATGCTCTCCTCGGGAGCAGGAATTTGCACCACGACCTCGGGACCCCAGTTGCAGTCCCTCTTCATGGCCTCGAGGTGACTCTTCGTTATCGAGCACATATATATCGACACATGCACGCATCGGCCCGGGATTGATGAAGGGTTTTCGACTTGGAAGTCGTATTTTAGAGTACACGGGACGGGAACGTACTCGCGTGGAAGCAGCTCCACCGGCGCCTTGTCGTCGGACGGCCGGGAAGAAGAGCAAGAAGCTTTCTCCTTCTGCGGTGCGGTTTTTGAGGTTTTTGACATTGGTATAAGTAAAGAAGGGCGAAGGAAGATGAAAAACTAGTGGGTTCGGTGCTAACGAAGGTGGCTCTACAGACGGCGAAAAGGAGGAGACGAAAAAAGTGAGAAGACTTACAGGTTTGATTAGAGCAAAAGTAAAGTTTGATTCAATGAAGGAGCGGGTATTTATAGGCTCACGACGACGGTTCGGTAGCGCTAGTGGCCGACCGCTAACTAACAAGCATTAATCATTTGGGGAACTGAACCAACGGGACGTTTCGGTCACATCCGTCGCTTACGTCATGAGGACGATGTCATGATCGAGGTTTCAGAAAATCGAGGCTCAAACCGTTTCTTATCATTTTTGTGAGCACCTAATTTTTTACCATGTTTGAGTATTTTTCGCTCCCGTTTTTCCGCGCGTATCCCCACCATACCGGTCCCCTATGTCTTGTCCCCCCATTATTTTTGTCCCCCACGTCTTGTCCCCCCCATTGTTTTTGTCCCCCATGTTTTGTCCCCCTATTGTTTTTGTCCCCCCATTATTTTTGTCCCCCACGTTTTGTCCCCCCCATTGTTTTTGT